TAGGAATCACCCCCTGTCCTCCAACAGCTGATTGGACCAGGAATGAGTACCTGATCCATGTTGGGCCAATCAGAGTTTCTTTCCTGAGAATAAGGGATTAAATTTGGGAGACGGCAATTCAGGAGCTGTGGAGAGCTACATAGGTCCAGGAGCTCTCCAAAGCTGCAAAAACAGAACAAAGGGAGAAGATTAAGCAGAAAACTGAAGGGAAGCAGAGATTAACAAATTTGGATAGATACTTCTGTGCTCTTGGTGGCTTTCCTCTTCCTAGTTCCAGGCCCTCATGAAGGGGCTGCCCTTAGGTTCTCACAAGATACCTAGTATCCTTCAAATACATTCTCTCTTTTTGGTCCTTTTAGCTCAAGTTGTTTTGAAGTAAGTTTCGACTACATAAAATCCAAAGATTGGCCCTAGACAGTTGCACTTTATGGCCCAAATTCCTAAAGTTACTGGGTTTGCTTTCTGGTACTCTTGGGCTCATCTGTTTGCTAACTTGTATGTGAATGGTACAAAGCTACGCATCAACTCTGAGGATCTGCTTTATCTCTAGAATCAACCAACCCAGCAGGGAAGCAAGTATCTGCTAGTATTTTGCTGAGAAAGCTTTTAAATCATCTCCTCTCCTGCTGGGTACGATTGTGTTGTTTAATGGTTTAACCATTTCCCCCTAAAATTCAGCCTGTATTTGTCCTTGAATATTTATCTATTGCATCTTCTGATAAGCTTTCCTTCTTGAGTTCTTATCCTGACATCTCTTTCAGACAAAATTAGCTGTATTTACAAGTTATGCCTGCATCGGTTTTCCAAAGGGCCTCATGTTTCTCATTCTGGGCCAAAAGCAAACCAGTGTCTACTTTACACATACGGTGGGGGGACATTTGAGAAGCAGCCCTGTCCAGACTGAAGCTCTAGAATACAAGATGGACTGCATTTTGCACCGAAGGACTCACAGAAGATGAAGGATTTCCCACGGTGAGAAAGGCTCGGAGCAATTTTTCCCAAGCATGGTCTCAGATCTTTCAATGCTTATGAAAAATGCAATTTTCCTGGTTCTGCTGAATCAGACTTTCTAGGGACGAGGCCAGGGACTCTGGATTTTAAATAATCTACCTAGGTAATTTTGATGTGTGAAAGCCATTGGCTATGAGCCAAGTGTAGCAATTCTCAAATCGAAACAAAATTGTTAGACTGTATTTCACAAAAAGCTCACCCTCTTCTTCAACACAGTAACAATATATATCACGCAGAAAAATTCAAGTCAGCTAAACTACATTTCTCTTTTTGAAGACTTTTATTCCTGGGAAAAAGTGGATATACCTCAGATCCTCCAAAACTGGATTATAAACCCTAGGCTCAGATCTCTCCTTTCTGACCAACGGGTTTGTTATCAGAGTTTCCTGAAGTGGGTGGGACTGCGAGACATGTTTGTTTTGTTTTTCCCAGACACTGGGAAGAAATCAAACAAATGCTAAGGCAGAATTTCTTGAAATGTGGTTCTCAAACCAGCTGGATCAGAATGACATGGACGGCCTCGTTAAGAAAGAGATTCTGGGGCTCTACCCCAGACCCACTGAACCAGAACCTCTGTGTGTAGGACCAGGAGATTTGCACTGTTTAATAAGCTCTGGAGGCTTTTCTTACATATAGTAAAGAACCAGGCCTTCCCTGGATGTCTGTCTCTAAATCCTATTTCATGCTTACACTAACAAAAAGACAATGAACACTTTTAGACCAGATACCAATGGTATCTAGTTCCTGCCACCCTTTCTCTTTGGGTGGGATAGTAATAATAATAATAATAATAATAATAATAATAATAATGACGACAACAATAATAGCAACACCTAATGTGTTTTAAGCTCTTACAGTGGCGGACACAGTGCTAAGAGCTTTACACGCATTATTCCAGTAAATCCACCCAACAACTCCATTATTCTATTTGATAGACAAAAACTGAGGCTCAGAAAAGACATGGACGTTTCCCAAGATGATACAACTAGCAAGTGGTTGAGATGGGATTAATTTGCTAGAGTGGAATTGGGCAAAATAAAAGGTGTGGCAGCTGGCCTTCAGAATTCATCCTTCAGGGGCCGGCTCGGTGGCATAGCAGTTAAGTTCATGCGTTCTGCTTCGGCGGCCTGGGGTTGATGGGTTCAGATGCTGGGCGCGGACCTACTTACCGCTCATCAAGTCATGCTGAGGTGGCTTCCCACATAGAAGAGCTACAAGTCTACAACTATGATATACAACTATGTACGGGGGCTTTGGGGAGAAAAAAAGAGGAAGATTGGCCACAGATGTTAGTGCAGGGCCAATCTTCCTCAAAAAAAAAAAAAAAAGAGAATTCATCCTTCATATATTTTAATTGGGGTTGTAAGGAACATTTCAACGCAAACAAGAATTTATGCAGGTGTGTAATGTAACAATACCTAAGGACAATGGGGAGGGCGTGTGTGAAGGACCAAAATCTTATGGTAATCCTGTACGAGTATCTCCAGGGCAGGAACTGGGATCTGTTTGGAGGCGAGCAAGTCCCAGGCCCCAGCTCCTCTGCGTCACTTCAGATCCCTCTGTGCTCTCTCCTTCCTCATCCTTCATCTTACCATGATGCTCATGGGACTAACTCCACCCCCTGCCAGCTCTCCCTATAAATCCTCTTAGCTTCAGCTTGCACTGCCAACTGCCTCATTCTCTCCGAATTTCTTAGTTTACATTCTTGAGAGAGGGAATCTGATTGGTTCAGCTTACCATGTTGTGTTAGGTCGCTTATCGATTGCTGGTTAGGTGCTGTTCTTGACTCCATCATTTGGCTGAGGAGGAAGAAGAGGGGAGTCATATAATAAAACCATGGCTGCCTGAAGGCCATGATCCCAAGGGGAGTCTGGGAGAACAGGCACGGTAATTGCCATTTCCAACACCAGTCTTCAACCAAAGGCTCTCAGCAGGCCTTAGAATGAAATAACTCTTGTCAGCAACTCCCAAGTCCTCATGGTTAGGGTGGGTGAGACTAGTTGCTGTTCCAGATTTCTCACCTAGTGGAAAGTCAAGTTTGTAAGCTCCTTCAGGGTAGGGAGTTTTGCTTGTTTTGTACATTGCTGTATTCCAAGCATCTAGAACAATGCCTGGCACAAGGCAGGCTCTCAATAAATGTTTGTTGAATGAATAAATGATATTGCAGTATCCAGCAACTCCCAAATGTTGTGGATTAGACAGGAGAAAATCTAATTTATATGCTGCTTTGGTCCTGGCTCCCAGACAATATTAATACCATCCTAACCAGAACACAGCCATGGATATCACTCTCCAGACAACCCACTTATTATTTGCTTAAAAGCAAATACAAATATTTTTGGGTCATCTGCTGGTTCTAATTCCTGCTAATAACTAAAAATTAACCATGTGGGCTGGGTGGGAGTCAGTTTCAAGAATCCTCAAGGGCCCCGTGGTTTAGCAGTTAGGTGCGTGTGCTCCGCTGCTGGCGGCCCGGGTTGGGATCCTGGGTGCGCACCGACGCACCGCTTCTCTGGCCATGCTGAGGCTGCGTCTCACATACAGCAACTAGAAGGATGTGCAACTATGACATACAACTATCTACTGGGGCTTTGGGGGGAAAAAGAATCCTCAAGGAACAGAGGTGTTAAGAAGGCAAACCATTTAAACCGGTGGTTCTCAACCAGGGGTGCTTTTGTCTCCAGGGGACATTCAGTTATGGGTGGAGACATTTTTTTTTAATTGTGGTAAAACAAAGATAACACAAAATTTACCATTTTTAAGTGTACAGTTCAGTAGTGTTACATACATTCACACTGTTGTGCAACCAATCTACAGAATTTTCATCTTGAAAAACTGAAACTCTCTACCCATTAAACAATTCCCCCTTCTCCTCTGCCTCCATTCGCTGGCAACTACCCTTCTACTTTCTGTGTCTATGAATTTGACTACTCTAGATACCTCATATAAGTAGAATTATACAGTGTTTGTCTTCTTGTGACTAGCTTATTTCACTTAGCATAATGTCCCCAAGTTTTATCCATGTTGGAGCATGTGTCAGAATTTCTTTCCTTTTAAAGGAAGAATAGTAAGTAGTCCATTGTATGTATAGACCACATTTTTCTTTTTTGTGTGTGAGGAAATCAGCCCTGTGCTAATATCTGCCAATCCTCCTCTTTTGTTGCTGAGGAAGATTGGTCCTGGGCTAACATCCATGCCCATCTTCCTCCACTGTATATGGGACGCCGCCACAGCATGGCTTGCCATGCAGTGCGTCAGTGCGTGCCCAGGATCCGAACCGGCGAGCCCCGGGCCGCCGTAGCGGAGTGCATGCACTTAACCGCTTGCGCCACTGGGCCGGCCCCAAGACCACATTTTTCTCATCCATCATTCATCAATGGACATTTGGGTTGCTTCTGCCTTTTAGCTATTGTGAATAATGCTGCTATGAACATGGCTATACAAATATCTCTGAGGCCCTGTTTTCAATTCTTTTGGATATATACCCAGAAGTGGCATTGTTGGATTACATGGTAATTCTATTTTTAATTTTTGAAGAACCATCACAGTTTTCCATGGAGGATGCACCATTTCACATTCCCACCAACAATGCACAAGGGTTCCAATTTCTCCACATCCTCGCCCCCACGTTATTTTCTGTTTTGTTTTGTTTTGTTTTTTGATAGTAGCCATCCTAATGGGCATGCAGTGTGGAGACATTTTTGAGTTGTCACAACTCAGGAGGAGGGGTGCTACTGGCATCTAGCGGGTAGAGGTCAACAATCAACATCCTACAACGCACAGGACAGTCCTCCGCCACAAAGAATGAACTAGCCCAACACGTCAGTCGTGCCGAGGCTGAGAAATCCTGATTTAAACAATCAGGTTCATCTTTCTTAGTAAATCTCATCCCCTGACACATGCAGCCTCTCTCTTCTCTGTTGAGGCGCTCAAAGGCAAAGATTTCCAAAAATCTGGAAAGCGAGGGAGGACTGAGAGGAACGGCAACATTTCTTTTATTCAAATTTTATTGGAAGTTTACAAATGTATTACAGACATCAGTAAAACATCATATCCATTTTACAGGGCACGGATCTCAAGCAAAGAGTTCACACCCGTCTCTGGCAGAGCCCACACCAAAGGCCTGTTGCAGACCTTCTTAACAAATAGCTTGACACTCGACACACAACACAGACTCTGGCCTGCCTCACCTTCTCAGGCCTTTTGAGGTTTTGTTTATGCACTTGGAATTGAAGCAGGAGATGGACAAAGCAATCCTGTAAAGGAGAGAATGAGTTTAGGAGAGGGAAAACTGCCCAAGTCCTAATTTGCTAAGGAAAATGGAGGACTCATAGGCCTTAGAATGTTAAGTCAGGGCCTATGATAGAACCAAAATGCTTTACAGAAAAATATGGAAATCAGCTAGATAGGCTTGAGAACAGATCTTACTGGTGAGTAACTCTCTCCGAAAAATTTAGGAAAGCTTGGTCAGTGACCTATTGAACATCAACGGCCAAATGCCCAGCAGGGTTGAGGGATGTCTCAGGAAACTTGCAGGATAGAACAAGACAATTTTTTCTTATCCTACGGATTCACCATATCTAAATCACAGAAGTGTTTTCCTAACACTATGTGAATCTCTCCCCTCCTTTTTATACCCCTTGGGGAAAGCTAGTTTTGTCAGCAGGAAGTAAGCTTATAAAATAGAATAGCTCCCAACAGTGAGCTATTGTTTTATGGGAGTCTTGTATTGACTGGGCTACTATTATGAGAAAATGGAAAAAAGATTCCAATCCTTTCTTGATCCTAGCCTTGATGACTGCTTCCAAGTGGTCAGACAAACAAGCTCTGGTGTCTGCTGAGGCCCCAGAGGGACCAATCACTGGAGGCAAGGCAAAGCTCTCTTCATTCCCACTTGTCTTGTGCTTTCAAGAAATGTACCTCAAGAGGCAGCAATCTGAAACTGCCTTCAGAATTGGCAGAGGAGGCTGGCTGAGTCCTGCACCTGGAATGCTGTCCGCAGAGCCCATTTCAAAGCCCTGAAGGTGCTCAACAGTTGCTTATAGCAACTCTTCTGGCATGAAATATTCCCATAACTGGTTCCATTTTCCACTTTCCTTTGTCATAGATAGATCCTCCTTCTTAGGCGTTCGCATCTGGTTTCTGTTAGACAGAAATACGCAAAGAGCACTTCTCCTTGGAATTTAAATATTTGTGTTATTTCTTATTAGAAGGTGGGATTAGACAAGGAATAAGATGGACTCCTATCTGACCTCTGCAGAAGGATGAACAGAAGGTTGCCTATAATTATTGGCCAAGAACACGAGAATGGAGAAGGAGGCCAGAGATGGGTCTTGGTTTAGGCTAAAGAAGCCAGCCTCCTTAAGCATCCACAGCAGGGAGACATTGGAATTGGAGTCTCACAATAATTGATGAATGATACTTTCTAAATAGCTGGTGTACTGTTTTGAGCCAATGGCGAAAGAGCCCAGGGTGGAAAGACAGATAAGAATCAGTTCACAGATAAGATTTGTTATCAGACAAATAAGATCAATTGGTCCTGGCTGTTTGGAGTGTTGTGAAGATTTTTGAGGCTGCATCCACGTTCTTTGGGAAAGTATTCAGTGACACATTGGTTGTATCTGCCCAGGTTGCAGGGATGGCAGAGCATGTGTTCCATATATGCCATCACTGGCCCCACCTCAACTCAACAATGGCTAGCGGTACTCAAGAAGCAGAAAGCTGCTGCCAGGAAGAAGGAAATACAATCTTGCTGCAGTGCAGGAGCATTCTACAGAATGGAAAAGAGGATGAGAAAGAGCTGCCTTCAGGTCCCATACTAGAAATACAAAGTTGCTTATTCACTGGGCTGGCTGAGGGTGGAAAGAGAGGACTAGAGAACAGAGGGTGAAATGTGGAAGGAAGGTGTCAACCAACCAACACCAGGAATTCTTCCTCCTCAAACACATGCAAAACCAGGAAGCATGGTTCAGTTTCCCTTGCCTCATTCACCTTCGTACTTGGTAGAGATCCCAGAACTATATGACAGAAGGAAGGGTGCCTGAATGCCACATTCAATGCCACCAGCCTGCTAAGAAACTTGTTCATAGTATCAAGGGTAGCATGTATTGGCAGGGCCATTCAGGAAACTGTCAATGACTTCTACTTCTTGGGAAAGAGTCAGCTCTATTGCCACTAAATCGAGCAGAAATAGGAAATGAACTGAACTCCAAAACTGTGGTTTTAACCAAAGGACAAGAACAAGTCCAATATGAGGAGAGGTAGAAAAAAAAGGAAAACAACAACAACAAAACCAAACCCCATTAGAGAGGAAACTGGGAAAAGATTACTTTTCTAAAAACAGTCTACTGAAGATGAAATGATGATCTAAGAAGAGGTGAGTGCAGGCCCCACTCACAGGTGAAACTTGCCCAAGAAGAGCTCATGGCTATGATGGAGGAATCAGGTAAGGACCCTACATTCTTGCCTCAGAATAGAATGCATTGAATTTTTGGGAATGGGAGTCTGGGATGTTACATGTAAGTTATCACTAACAGGGGAAACTCCCAATACAGTGACACCTGCTCTCTCTGGAGCATTCACTTGGAGGTTCCATCATCATCGTGAGGATTTAGCTGTCCCCCAACAGAAAGGAGGCCTGCAAGGTGCCTGGCTGCACGTGGGCTGGGGAGAAGACATCTGCAGTGGTGGAATAGATGGAGGTGATCTTGCTTGTAGACAGTGTGACCCTGAGGCTTGTAATTCATTATATCTCAATTCATTATATCTGACCAGTTCAGCTGCTGGATATCCCTGGGCAGCTAGATCTGAAATTCTTATTCCTCTGATCCCTTTGGGTACTAGTTCTGTGTCAGTTTCTAGGCCACATCCTTCTTTCTACTGATGGTGGTTAAAGCCTCATCTGGGAAATGTAAGAGGTACTCTGAAAAGGACAGAGTTAGAAAGCGACATTTACTAGGAGAATTTCTTTCATTGAATTCCAGGCCACAGAGGACAGACATTATTTTCAGCTGTTTGCTAAGTTACATGATCTACTTTTTTCTCTCTTTTCTTTTTCCAAAATGCCTTTTTATTCGCATCAATTAAGGAACTCAGAACTCCAAATTGGACTCACCCGATTTCTACCAGAAACCCGCTACTTTAGTAGCAGGGTGTTGCACATTATTTCTTAATCAGTTTGCCAAGCAGTTTACAAACTTACTATACAAACATAATAGAGTTAATTCTCCGTAGGCTTGGATAATTAATGAAGCATTTAGATATGAAGATAGCATGCGGAAACAGCCACAACCAACATTTGCATTGCTTTTTTAAAAAATCAGTGACAATGACAAATGTCCTATTAATACCTGAAAAGCAAATTATTTTAATACATCCTGAATGGAGTGCCATTTCCACATCCTTTACAGCCTTCCTCTCCCCAGACCCATTTGATATGGTGTCTGAAAAGCCACTTTTCACATTCTCTCCATAAAAAAATACTAGAAAATATTAACTACTATACTGAAAAGAGACCACGCTCACCTCACCATGGCAGATGGCCATTGAGATACACCGTGTACTACATCGACAGTACATCTCACTACAGGTGGGTCCTCCGATGGATTATTTCAACTGCCACAATCCATTAAGGGGAGGAGGAGAATGGAAGAAAAAGCAAGCGCTTCATTTTTAACTGAAGCAAGGTAGGAAGTTTTATTTGACTATAAACAACACAACCGTTAAATGTCTTCTTTAAGCAAACTCACTTTTGAGCCCATTTTCTGTCTGATCAACAGTCCCCAAAGTTCAAAATGGAAATCCCCCTTTCAACAACATTTGTTTTTCAAGACCATTACTCTGAAATCTCCTGAGCAGCTCAACCATTCCGGGTAACTGAGATACTCTGGTTACGGAGTGTGTGAAACTGGATTCTTTCCACAAGCACTGGGGGCTAATTCAAGGAGGTTGTCACCTCTGCTCTGCTTCATTTCCAGAAGTTCTTCTTTGCTCTGACCCTCCTTCATATCCTCCTTCAGTTTCTACCCTGGACCTGCTTTCTGTTTTCAAATGACCTTGTTCCTTCTCCATGTGTGACACACACTCTAGAACACACCATCACCACCAGAGCCCCTCAGAACCTTTCTGTCCCTAAATTCCTTATGCTTAAGCTCATTTGCAGTGAGGACAATCGGTTGTCAGGCTAAGGCAGCTGTTCCGTCTGCCTTGGTAAAGGAAAGCAGATAATACAATCCAGGAAACAGGAGCACCAGAAAATAATGCCACAGTCAAAACAACGTCATGCTGACATCACACACGGCACCACTCACAGTCACTTTTATTGTCCCCAAGGGACAGATCAATAGTAAGCAACTTCAATGTTCCCAGCAGGGAGGGCATTTCTCACAGCACTTGACTGACACTGGTTGCTTTCTCTAATTGGCAAAGTTACGTTTGCAATGAAAAAAAAAATTACTATCACTTTGTAGGGAAGAGATTCTACTGAGGGTAGGAGCAGACTTAAGGATGGCTCCTTAAAGATGGAATGGAGCATAAAATGCTTTGGGTATAATAGTTACTTTTTTTTTTTTCAGCCACAAAAAGCCAAATTGAATAAACTCCTTTGAAAAAGGTCTCACTGACATGTAACAAACTTGTATAGAAAGAAGAAAACAAAAGGTGGTCCTGGACCACTTTCGAATACTACTCAAAGACAAGGCTGGATGTGCATGCAAGTCTCCACTGAGTCTTACGATATAGAAATTCCTTTGATATTACAAAATACAAAAATATTTTATCAGAACTCTCATTTACATAGCATTTACAATGGACATGTAAATAACTTAGTGTTGGGTCCTGGCTAATAAACAAATTACTTACTGGAAAAAGGGTCCTAAAAGTAAGAGAACCAGAGAGGATATAAGCGAGTGGGAAACAATTTGCCATCTTGCGAGTGGTAACTCAGCACAGACTGATGGCAAGGAGGTGACCAACCTGGGGCCGCCATAGAGTCTATCGTGATTCCAAAGTGAAATGTGCAAATAATATTAACATGCCAAGAACTGTGACTACCTATTGAGTCAATCTGTATCCTTGCCTCCATCAACTGAGAGCACTTCCCTCTTCTTCTCCAGGAACCACCCCCAAAAGCGCTTTAAAATGTAAAACAGTGCAAGTTTTCTGAATCTACATTCTTAGCTCCCATCTTCCCCCATTCCCTGACCCCAATCAGATTAAGAAATGATACAGTTTTTGCTCTTTTGTCTTTTCCTGCTGTGCAACTGTCCCCTGCCACCTAAGGTGGAAGACTTGGGGAGGCCATAAGAGCTGTACTTGTGCAGCAGCTCATCACTTGTGACATATCGCAGGCGGGCTGGCTGGGGGATTGGTTCTCCTAGGAAATAGCCCTCGTTGTCAGACTCAGAGGAGGAGGAGCAGGTGGAACACCAATCATACTCGGTGAAGTAGGGTCCCCATCGCTCCCCAAAGGCATTCTGCAAAGCCAAGTCCGACACAGTCCTCGGGCACTGGCCGTACAGGTCCCTCCGGGACCCCTGGCCCAGGCTCTCCTGGAAGCTCCGCTGGCGCAGGAATTGGTCATAGTCCTCCCTGGCTCTGAGCGGGGGCCTTTCTTTTAACCGAGAGATGGCCTCGCGTTCGCTGGCCAGGTGGAGGGCGTTGTCTGACCGAGAGCGTCGGGAACGCCTGGAGCGGTGAGGTCGGAAGCGGCGGTTGTCGTCGCGGGAAGTAGCTCTTCTCCGCGTGCGTTCGCTCATGGGCTGGATCCTCACACCCTCTTGCCCCGGCAGCTTGCTGCCCGCCATCCCCCCATCAAAATCAAAGCTCTGATGCATCCTTCCGTGGGACTGCAGGTCTCTGTACCCAATGGGGTTGCCGAGCTGGTGGAGGTTTCCCTCCATCTCCTGGTACTGCTGGGCAGACAGCAGGCTGCGAACTGACTCCGCGCTCCGGAACTGCATGGATGAGTTAAGCGTGCCCATGTTGCTCAGCTTCTCGGAGACATTCATTCCAGAGTCTTTGCTGAGGTCAGGCATGGAAAACCGGGATAGGTGCTCCTGGCGCTTGGCGCCACAATCTGCAGAGAGGCCTGGGGGAGAAAGAGGATAGGACCACGGAGGTTATTACAAACGTGGCATTGGGGGTCACTGTCACTGTTGGTCATCTGAACTGTCATCTATCCAGGGTCGCTGCACAAGGTCATGCAGTTGTGTACCACACAAAGGCTCTCTCAGAAAGTGAGTAGGAGGGCTCTCTCCACTCCACAGGGGGGCAGTGTCCACCTAGAGGGGGCACCTGGTTAAATGCATCCACAGAGACGCATTTTACCAATTATGAATTTTTTCAAAGGCTCATCAAAATTACTAACAGCCCATTGGGTATCTTATGCATGATCTTTCCTCTGTTTAGAATTTCACTTTACAGAGTGCCTCAATGACCTCTTCGATTCTAATCATGCACTATAGTAGGTAGGACAGCTATTTTGGGAGAGGAAACTTGAAGCTATAGAGGCTGGCCCATGCCCAAGCATTTCCTGGCAACACTGAGCCTAGAATCTAGCCCCATTTTACTGGACCAGTTCACTTCTCTGTTAGCTTCCAGCAGTTTCTTGCCCTGCCTGCTGTCCCTAAGCCCCCTATCTCAAATGGCTGACACTAAGTGACTCCCAGGGTGTAGACAGGGATATTTACTCCCTCAGGCTGTTTAGTGAATGACTGTTGCAGGGTTCTAAATGGGTCCTGAGCAGCCAGATGATGTGAGTGGGACTCTGGGGCATCCTCCTTCCCCCTGGGGAGGCCCTTTTTAAAACAAAGCAGTGACTCCAATGCTCTCTAACAGCACGTGCCCAGCAATGGACCTGCATTCCCTAAGTGCTGGCATCACTGAGATGAAAACCATTTTGAAGATAGTGGGAGATTCTTGACTTCAATAACTTCCATTTTGCCCATCTTAAAGCAGCACTCTCTAAAGAGAAGGCTAAGAATGGATTAGGTGACAAAATCTCAGCATTTTCCACTCATCATCTACTGGAAGATCAGCGATTTTGCCATTTCTGGTCACAGACACCATATCTTTCGATTGCCACGGCCCACTATGCCCCCTGCCACTGATTATTCCTCCCCACCTACTGGGGCCAACGACTTCCCCTCCCCTGACAAAACTAAAGCAATGTTATGAGCACTTTGTAAAACTGATACTTGGCAATATCTACTGACCCTAAATATACATATATATGAATTATGAACAAAGCCGGTTTGAATATCTGTGTCCATTTTTTGTGGACTTACGTACTCCTGTTGGGTATATAACCAGAGTGGAAATTTTATGACTTTCCATCATTACTCTTGGTTATATACCCAACAGAAGTCAGTTTATAGGTCCAAAAAAACGTACAAGGGTATTTAGAGAAGCTTTCTTCATAATAGCCCAGAACTAGAAACAACTCAAATGTCAATGAACAGGAAAAAGGATAAATAAGTTGTGGTATTTTCTACTATTCTCCATTAAAAGGAACTAGGATTCTTTAGAGAAATGATTGATTCCAGGACAAAAGAGGGGAAGGTAAAAGATGAGCCTGGAACATCTTGTAATGCCAAAAAATAAGGAAGTGTTAAAACTAAAAAATGATGGGAGTTTGCCAGAAGAACACACAGCCCAACTTGAAGGGGCTCCCACAAGCCAAATCTGAGCAATTTGAGGATTAAAATAGTTGAAACACTAATGATTTATAAACCATTGGATAAAACAGGAATTCATGAGTCCATACTGATAACAGACAAAAACATCAATAAAGAAATGGGGGAAAAGAGCGAGCTCTTGTATTTAGCAGAATGCTGAGTAGGGTGAGTACATACAGAGGGAGTGCTGGATTTGGAAGATCATCATTTTGTAATCAATGTAGGTTAAGACTGGTTCATGCAAGGGTCAAAGTATGCTGAAGTTAGGGGGTAAAATGAGATGTGGGAGCAGGATATTTTCATGGTGTTAAGTGTTTCCCCACATATCGCTTATTAGCTGCAAGGGAAAATTTACTAACTATACAGTGGAGAAATCAGACAACATTCTGACCAGGAGATCAGACTTAACATCACTGATGAGGTGCAACTGGACATCACGTGCCTCCAGATGAGACGTCCTAAGAAAGACGCACAGTCACTTACCTCCAGATGAGACGTCCTAAGAAAGACGCACAGTCACTTATGTAGTCTTCCAGCCAAGAATACATATCTTAAATGTATTCAGGAGGAAAGATTAGACAAACCTCCAAAATGAGGAATGTTCTATTAAGATAAAAGGGAAAGTATTCTTTTTAAAAAAATCAGTATCATAAAAGACAAAGAAAGAAAGGCTGAGGGAATGTTCTAGACTGACAGACACTAAGGAAACATGGCAACTACATACAATACCTGATCCTGGACTGGAACCTGCTCTGTAGGGAAAATAAGTGCTATAGAGGATAACTGTTGATCAATTGACAAAAATTGGGACATGGCCAATAGATAAAAGTATTATGCTAAATTTACCATAGTTAGTTGATAATTATGATAAAGTTGGAGAAAATCCTTATTCTTGGGAAATACACATGGAAGTATGCAGTGGTAAATGGACAAGGTGGATGCAACCTGCTTTCACATGGTTATGAAACAAATTGTATGTGTGAGCAAGAGAGAGCAAATGATAAAGCAAATGGGGTAAAATGTTAATAACAGGTGAGTCTACATGAAGAGTACATTATGAGTGTTGTTTGTTCCATTTGCAACTTTTCAGTAAGTTTGAAATTATTTCCAAATAAAAAGTTTCTTAAAAATTGTAGTATATGTATATGATGCAATGGTTTTCAATTCTAGGGGAAATCACTGTGTGTGTGTGTGTGTGCGCGCGCGCGCGCGCGTGCATGCACAACATCAGCATCTAGTAGGTGGAGGCCAGAGATGCTGCCAAACATCCTACAGTGCACAGGACAGTCCCACAACAAGGAATCATCCAGCCCCAAACATCAATAATGTTACAGTTGAGAAACCATGATATAACGGAATACTACACATCAACGAGAATGAATAACTATGCCCAACCACATGGATGAATCTCACAGAAAATGCTGAGAAACACAAAAGCATATGTGCTGTATGATACCATTCATATGAAGTTCAAGAACAGGCTAAGGTTATCTATGGTGACAGGTCAGGATAGCGGAACGGGGCATAAGGGAAACCCCTAGAGTGCTGAAAATGGTCTATATCTTAGATCTGGGTGATGGTTATAAAAGGATATGTGTATGTAAAAATTCCTGGAAGTGTAGTTTTAATATTTGTTTTCTTTACCTTATGTAAGTTACACGCCAATAAAACGATGTGCAATGTTCTTATTAAGGAGCCAAATTTAAATGTTGGAGATGCCTATGGAGAAACTATTGTGCCAAACATCGTACTTTCCAGTCATATTTTTAAAAATTTCATCATTGGGACAATTGCAGGGCAGGAGGAGTTGAGTCCTCCAACCCTTCCTTTCCCACTGCTTATCTCCGACGTACACATCATAAAAGCTGATTTACAACAGCCTAATCACTTCCAGAGCCTCCCCAATATGAAGGCAGAGAGGAGAGGAGAGCAACCTAAGATGATGAATGAGTAGCCTGAGCAGATGAACTCGAGAAAGGAAGGGGAAAAAAAATCTTCAGAAATCATATGTAGAAACAAAAGCTATACATCTAGACGGGCACAATGATCTTTGCCGGGCTTTCTACTCACGCCTTAGATGGAATTAGGGTCAGTATAAATAATCTAGCAAATACTATAAATTCCCAGACACGTTGTTTGCCTGAGCCTGTCTTTTATAAGCCCCGAAGTCAAGCATTTCCGAGAACGTCCTGCGTGTGAACAGATTCATATTTCAATGAAGTAAACGTGAAGGGCAGCTTCAGTTCTGCTGGGAGGTGATCTTCTCCTATTGTACTTCTGCATCCTGGGGGATCTCAGGATACTCTTAACTGCCTCCCCTCATCCCCCCACCCCCCAAAAAAGAAAAGTGCTCTGGCAGGAACAGGGCCCTGTTGCTCAAGCCCAGAGTCTACTATCAGTTTGACCAAAGCATAAGCTCTTCCCCAGGGGATGTGTAGGTGGGACTAGAAATGCTACCTGCTCACGCCAGACAGGAGAAATGTTTACCTTCTTATTTATTAACTCAGATTCTCCTCCAGGGTCTTCTTGCATGCGGGGCATGAACAGAATGGCCAGTGTTGCCCACAGATGAGCCATGATTATGTACTTGCCTCCAAACAGGGTGGCTCTGTGGTAAATTTCATTATCGGCAAACCCAGATCCTTGTGCAAACCTCCAGGCCCTCGGGTGTCTCCAAGATCATCGGCTAAACGCTCCTCCCAGCTTACTCTGCTTCACCCGAGCTTCCGTTCTTCTCCCTCCCCAGCACACCAGCAAGCTCGTTCCAGCCCCCTCTGGGAAACTCTCCCCTTTGCACAGCTGACTCTTCTGATCTTTAAGGCCCTCAAGTAAATGTCACCTCTTCAGTGGGGCTTGCCCTGATTGTACTTTCTAAAGCAGCAAAGTTGTCCCCCTGCCAACCAGTCACTCTGTAGCCTTGACTTTTATGGTCCCCACCCAGACTTAAGTTCACGTGTAAGTCTGTAGCTGAACAGATGTCCCATGGGAGCAGTCTTGTCCCCCTGTCCACTGCCTTCTCCTGGAACTAGCATTGCCCTGTTGGTGCTCACTAAATATTTGTGAAATTCAGGTAAACGAATCCTCACACTGCCCACAGCTAGGAAAAAGCAAGCACTCTCTGACCTGACGTGGACCACGACTTAAAGAACAGCTGACTGTAATTCTGATGGGTGGGATGCCAACCACTGGGAACAAAAATACCACGGTCACACCTGTCAATCTCATTGTCTCTAGTCTTTCTTTATAAGGCCCACCATCTGGGGCTTCTCCAATTTTAAAGTCGAAGAATGTCTGGTTTATAAGTAGCTGCTTGATCTACAAAAAATGTTTTGCCTTATTAATCACAGCTCTGGAGATCTGTTTAAATTAGCAGCTTCCATGTCCCCAAGAGGAAACTGTACTATCACAGCTC